TCAGTGACTTTTCCAGTGTTCCAGCTGAGGGGGCTTCTTTCTCAGATGGGATATCTGAAAGGGTCACGCTGTTCAACACAGAGGTTTTCAAACAAGCCTAAGTGAGCTAATTATGCCAATAGGGTTTAAACAACAAACTCACAAAGTTTTTTTTTTAATTCCATCTCGTATTCCTGGCTGACAGCTCCAAAATGAAATTATCAGTCCAGGGGAAGACAATAACTAGACTGAAAGTCTACCTACAATGGCAATCAGGAGAAGAAAAAATCTTTGCCCCCCGAGTACTTTTCCTGCCCCACGGGAACAACCGGGGGGCTATTACCACCAAGTATAATGACTATGATGGGAAACATTATGTTCCCAGGTGGAAGACTTTAGAGATGGTAAAGATCTTCCAAGAGCAGTTTGAGATGAGTGAGGATGAAATTTTTATGTATTTTTCTCACCTCCTTTCACTCATTCCACCCCCCTAAATTAGCTGTACAATGCATACCTGACAGCAGAACATGTGTTGTTGAACATGCCACATAATGTTATGGTATCAGACTTCAAAAAATCTGCTGTATAAAAATCTAAATTTTGCTTTCTCTTAAAATGTTTCTATTCTGCATCCATTAGCCATTATGGTATAAGCTCCTCTCTAGAAGGAGTTAACATTTGTCTAAGACACTTTGCTTCCTGCCTCCAAAGCCTGGCTGCTTATTTCATCTTTCTTCCCTTTTTCCACAGTTTGAAGACAGCGAAGAAGACTTTGACTCCAGGTTTGATACAGATGATGAACTTTCCTATCGGAGGGATTCTGTCTATAGTTGTGTCAGCCTGCCCTACTTCCACAGCTTTTTATACATGAAAGGTACAGAGCAGACCAGAGCAGGTCATAATCTGAAATGTTCAGAATTCTCTCTAGTATTTTCCTATTTTAAGGGTAAGAACTCCACTCCAGTACTGCTTGGGTTTTTTATTATTTTTTTTAAGGGGTGACAGAGCGACCAGGAGAGCCATTCTCTTTGTACAGTTTTGATTGCAAATTCTTGTATCAGGCAGATTTCAGATAGTTCCCCTTCTGCAAAGGAGCATGGACTGAGAAGCTCAGCTTCATTCCTTTTTATATTTAGCATCCACATCATATAACATCTTCACTGACTGGTGTACAACTGAATAGTGGATATGCCTTATAGAGTGGCAAGATAGCCCAGAAAACCAGATTGTACCAGAGGTAAAGGAGACCCACGAATCTTACAGTCTAAATAGATAAATAAAAACTTCTGACATCCCATATACTAGAGACCAGTACTAGAGACCAGTAAGGTCAGCAGGGAGGTCTCTTAGTGGACTTGGCATCAGTAATCCAAAAGAGGGCACGATGAGAGATTTAGCAAAGATATATTCAGGAGTTCTTTCATTATGATTCTTAGTTTTCCTTGCACATCATAGAATCACAGATTAGGGTTGGAAGAGACCTCAGAAGGTTATCTAGTCCAACCACTTGCTCAAAGCAGGACCAACCCCAAGTAAACATTCCATCTAGGATTTTGTCAAGCCTCACTTTAAAAACCTCTGAGGATGGAGATTCCACCACGTCCCTAAGTAACCCATTCCAGTGCTTCACACCCTCCTAACAAAATAGGTTTTTTTCTGATATCCAACCTAGACCTCCCCCGCTGCAACTTGAGACCAGTGACATAGACTCCAGGAAAATCCTTGGGCTGTAATCCTTACTTACAAAAAAAAAATACTAACCAGCTCAGACATGAATTCGAAACAAGGAAAACCACATTTACACATTTCAAAATGTCCATTCCTGGGAAAGCTCGTCTTCCTGCATACCTGGAAAAATGTCTCTGATATCAAACAAAGAAGAAAGACAATTTTCTCTCTCTCTCTCTGTCTGTCTGTCTCCGTTTGAAATTCCTATCTGCATTTCATTGGTTGAATGCCCAAGCCCCCTCCCTCAGGTGCATCTCCAGTTGCTTAACCCTTTCCTCACTCTCCAGGTAAGTCAGACTCTCCTTAGCAGCTACTATTTATGACCTATGCCATTAGCCTTCTTGACTACAAGGGCACACTGTTGACTCATCCAGCTTCATATAATCTCCAGATCCTTTTCTGCAGAATTGCCTCTTAACCAGTCAGTCCCCTGCCTGTAGCAGAGCATGAGATTCTTCTGTTCTAAATGCACAACACTACACTTATTCTTCTTGAGCCTCATCAGATTTCTTTTGGCCCAATCCTCCAATTTTTCTAGGTTACTCTGGGCCCTATCCTTACCCCCCAGTGTATCTACCTCTCTCCCCAGCTTAGCACCATCTGTAAACTTGCTGAGGGTGCAATCCATCTCATCATCCAGAGTATTAATGAAGATGTTGAACAAAGCTGGCCCTAGGACTGATCCTGGGGCACTTTACTTGATGCTGGCTGCCAAATAAACATTGAGCTGTGTTTTCTATCCATATTATAGTCCATTCATCCAATGCATACTTCTTTAACTTGCTTGCAGGAATAGTGTTGGAGACCATATCAAAAGCTTTGCTAAAGTCAAAATACATCATGTCCAACACTTTCCCCATATCTACAGAGACAATTATCTCATTATAAAAGATGATTAGATTGGTTAGGCATGACATGCCCTTGGTGAATCCATGTTGACTGTTCCTGATCACCTTCCTCTACTCCAGTTGTTTCATAATCAGTTCCTTGAGGATCTACTCCATGATTTTTCCAGGAGTGAAATGAGGCTGATCAGTCTATAGTTTCTCAGATTCTCTTTCTTCCCTTGTTTAAAGATGGGTAAGATATTTGCCTTTGTCCAGTTGTCTGGAACCTCCTCCAATTGCCATGAGTTTTTAACGATAATGGTAACAGCATATAGATGAGTGGCAACAGCATATAGATTTTATTCTATTCTGTATGTGAGGTTTATCAATGTAGTTCCCTCACATAAGAGGCCCTGGGAACTTACATGACCCACAGAAATTCATATATTTGCTGTACCTTTTACTTCTGACAGCAATGGTAAGTTCTCTACACACTATGGGTACATCTAGACTACATGCCTCTGTCGCCAGAGGCATGTAGATTAGGCTACCAGACATAGTAAAATGAAGCAGCGATTTAAATAATCGCCGCTTCATTTAAATTTACATGGCTGCCGCGCTGAGCCGACAAACAGCTGATCAGCTGTTTGTCCTGGGATGAGGTTTACCTGGGTGGTCGACAAATGCCTTTGATGTCGACACCCGCGCGTCCAGACTATCACACTGAGCCGACAAACAGCTGATCAGCTGTTTGTCGGCTCAGCGCGGCAGCCCTGTAAATTTAAAAGAAGCGGCGAGTAT